TATCAATGTTCTGCCAGGCGGCTGTTTCGTATGAGCTTCCTGGTAGGTTTCTCTCTTCATTTTCCATGTATTGGTTGCCAATATAGTATGTCAGATTTCTTGTTTGCGAATCTCAGTCTTCATTTTTGACGGTTTCGGTCACTGAGGGTGGTGTTATATAGCTATTTATTTATTTTATGCTCATTTTGAATGCTGCCGTTTCTAGTCATTTGTAATTGGTATTATAAGGGCAGTATCATCGGCAAAGTTTATATCCGTGATATAGGTTAATATAAAAATAATTTCCATTCTCAAGTACTTTGTCAGGGGGTTTGTGTTGAATCACTTCACTTCTCAGTGCATAGTCTTCTTTGTGATGAATGTCACTTTTTAAAACTTATGTAACTATCTCAAAGAAGTTAATCGATTATAAGCTTATTATCTACATATTTTTATTTATTTAGTGGTAATAGATTTTTCTGTGTCTGGCCACATCTGTATTATGGATACAAAATTAGATTAGATATTGCCATATACTTTTAGCAATTAAACAATAAACTTCAAAATAAAGCAAAACCATCACAACCTTTATTGCCAATTAAAGTACCAACTTGGAGGGGAAATTTGTTAACGACTCTGCATGGTTTGTTTTTAAGGTGATGACGCCGTGCTGGCAACCCGACCATGGGAGGTATCGCCACCAATTACCGGAGGCCTCAAACCTGGTCAGCGCGCCGTTTGTGACACATTCCCAATTGTATACAGCAGTGAATAATAATAATGATACTGTAAATAATAACCAAGATAACTATAATTATAACAACAACATCGACAGCAACAATGGTAATAATGATGATAGTGATAATAATAATAATAATAAAAATGATCTTAAAGATTATGACAATAATTGCTTCAATAATGATGACAAAAATGTCAGGTACAATCATAATTATTATTACTGATTATTAAACTTATCGTTGTTTTAATAATTTCATTATTATTAGTAACATTATTATTATTATTATTATTATTATTATTACTATTATTATTATTATTATTATTATTATTATTATTATTATTATTATTGTTACTATTATTATTATTATTATTATTATTATTATTATTATTATTATTATTATTACTATTAGTATTATTATCATTATTGTTATAATTTGTTATCATTATTATTATTATTATTATTATTATTATTATTATTATTATTATTATTATTATTATAATTATTATTATTATTACTATTATTACTATTATCATTATTATTAATATTATTATTATTATTGTTATTATTATTATTATTATTATTATTACTATTATTATTATTATTATTGTTATTATTATTATTATTATTATTATTATTATTATTATTATTATTATTATTATTATTATTATTATCATTATTATTATTATTATTATTATTATTATTACTATTAGCATTATTATTATTGTAACTATTATTGTTATTATTATTATTATTATTATTATTATTATTGTTATTATTATTATTATTATTGATAAAGTTATCATTATTCTTTTATTATTATTATTATTATTATTATTATTATTGTTATTATTATTATTTTTATTTTTATTATTATTATCATTATTATTATTATTATTATTATTATTATTATTGTCATTATCATCATTATTGTTATTGTTATCATAATTATTTTCATTATCATTATTATTGTTATCACCATCATCATTCTTATTCTAATTTTTTTTCTTATTATTCTTTTTCTTATTCTTATTATTATCGTCATCATCATTACCATTATACTTATTATCATTATTATTACTATTGTCCCCATGATTGTTATTATTAAATCGTTAATTCTATTATTGCTATTGCTGTTAATGTTAATCATTACTATTGTTCGGTCATTATTACTATTACTATTATCGAAGGTCATATTATCATCAGTATTTTTTTCATGATCATTATTGTTTTTATTGTAATTGACATTATTGTTCTTTTTATTATTAGTAGTAGCATTAGCATTAACAGTAGTAGAACCAATGCTGTTACCATGATTGTTATGATTGTCATTATTATTAGTTATTATTGATGCATTGTTATTGTTATTGTTATTATTAGAATTGCCATCATGATAATTATTATCATCAATACTACTACGGCTATTACTACTTCTGCAATTACAGTAATTACTTCTACTACTACTACTGCTACTACTACTATTACTAAAACTGCCGGTATTTTTGCTTTATTCTTATTTTTTTGTGTTTATAATAGTATGCAATGTTGTATAAGAGTAACTCTTTCACTTCACTTTCAATTAAATATAAGAATTATTGTAGGTTATGTCGATTTGAAATATGGACACAAAAAGTCTCTTTTGCCCTGAAACTGCATTTTTTAAATTAATTAAAAAATATGATTATTTACATTTCTCTGTCATTTGCCTTGCATGTAATCGACCCCCGTATTCAAATAAGGGAAACTTGTTAGCAGCTCATAAGACTAATAAAGATACGACATGAATTACTTTTTTTTATCATGGCAAGAGTGCCACCTAGAATCCTTCACCTTTTAGGAGACTAAAATATTATCTGTATACTGCATAGGCTTTCGAAAGAAATACATATCAATGTGAATAGAAACTAATTCAAAACAACTGATGTGTAAATAGTTGTATAAACATCTGTCGGCTATCCTACGTATATAGTCTTATTTTTTAATTGCAATATTCACGATTGGACAGAGGAATATAACAAAAATAACTGCAGAATAAATTCGCAATAAATGCAGTCATGAGATTGCTGATGACGCATGATGCGATGACACGTCTGCGGCGCTAGCGAAAGAAGACATGGCTTCCTATGTCTCCAGAATGAATGGACTGTTGTAGTCTTATCATCATCATGATCATTGTTGCTACAACATTAACATTACTAAACACTGTTTTTATAATCATTATAATCATGGTAGTTATGGAACTATCTCAATCAATATAACCATAATTCTCATAAATGTGTGTTTATCGTTTACATAAAAATGTATTAAAAGTATTACTTCGCCTAAGTGTAGTCGTTGATTGCTGCGCTATTAAAAGAAGAAGAAGAAGAAAAAATATATATATGTACACACACACACACACACACACACACACACACACACACACACACACACACATATATATATATATATATATATATGTTCCTACAGGTGTGCATCATGGATGTGGAAAAGCGCCTGTCTAATGCTGAATTCATATATCATGAATAAATACAGTCTTGAAATAGAAATGATTAATTGCAATACATTTTGCTTTACTTGTATACAAATTGGCATGTCATATCAATTCAAAGTATGGATAAAATAGAGACTTATTCTTGTAAGCATATTTGGACATGTCTGAGTACAACGGTTTTCTCTATTCAAAGGATTTCAGAAGGCAGATGCATTTCAACATAATCAATTTATTACATCACTGAAAACGGACGCTGTCTTAACTCTTTAGATTTGATTTATGCTGAGACAGACGCTTAGTGAGACTGGCGCCTGTCTCGCCAAAGAATTATACCTATCATAGGAGGCATAAGGAACAGTATAGGTACCGAGGAAGCGTCGAGGCGCGCCCACGCCTCGACGCTCCCTCGCCCCCCAAGCCACGCTACCCCGCGTGGGTGAGCGCTCCCTCGCCCCCCACGCCCAGTATTTGACCCGGTCAACCAGAGTCAGTCGCCAGCGCCAGTCGGGTCAAGTCCCCTGGGCCTTACGGCTGCAGGCGGTCACTTCGCGCCTTGACCCAAGATTGATATTCGTGTGTTCCATCACTGTGTTGCTTGTACTCTTAGTAAATAAAAAGTCGAAACCATCATCCCCTTTTACTACTCCTGTTCACCAATGTTTAAAGTCAATTAAAAACCCTTTACACACACATATATATATACATATAAGCACACGCACACACACACACACACATACAATATACTGTATAGCCACGCCGTACTCCAGCTGGTGGCTCCGCCCCTGCTTCCAGTAGTCGCCGATACTTATTCTCCATGGATGACCCCCGTCAGTCAGAGTGTGCCTTGGGTCGGTGGAGGTCACACCTGCCCGCTGGGCTGGGCTCGCCGGTGACCTCAGGTGACCAGCCCATAAACCAAGACTCGTCATCCTGGTGTTACCAATCCGTGTGCTGAACTCTTATCAATAAAGGATTTTTAAGCCACCCAAGCTTTTACTACTCCCTGTCACCAATGTTTAGAGGTCAATCTATAACCCTTTACAAGTGGTGGTAGCGGTGGTAGTTGTGTCCTTTTGGCACGCAACCAAACAAGCTTCTCCGAAGAAAACCGCTCGGCTTCAACGAACGCAAGATGACATTTCTTCAAGGAACCTGTGAGTACACATTTTGGGCCCTTCTCTTTTCATTTCCTCTCTATTTTTCCCTAAATGCGTTAAGCCGTGTATAGCGATGCTCACGTTAGTTTTTGTTGGGTGAAAGTAAATGGCATACTCTCATCTCATTTTCTTGACCTCACACCTCATTACTGTGTGATAAAGTATGAAGACAAACATTATGAAATCGTTCATTTATTAAGTGTCTATTTTTTTTGTTCGTGATTAAATTATATTGTTTCAATTGTATCGAATTTAACGCGTTCATGAATTTATTCTTTCACGAATATTCACTCACTAAATTCTTCTCTCTCCATTTTCTGTCTTGACCTGACCTCACCTGAAAGTCATTAATCAGAGCCCACTTGGGGACAGCTGTCGTGACCTGACCTCAGCTGATGGTCATTCTTCGAATAGCTGGGGTCGTCTGACCTGACTTTCACTAGGAGTGATTGACACGATAATGGTGGAGAAAACAGCTTGCCAATTCCCTTTTTATTGTTTTCAATAATTATCACAATGTAGGGATAATGCATAACAACCGTTACATGTTCATTGGTGACACGTTCTATCGGCGCTAGAACGGAACTTGTAACGCGACTTGTATAATTAAATATAACGCCAAGAGGTATCCTCATTGTAAGGTTGTAATTATGCGTAATGACTCACGTATGAAAGTAGGTTAAGGTAACTGAAGTAAATCATACGTTTGGCAAACTTTGAGCCAGGGTGACTGCAATTATGTCCATTAATTTAGGACTAGGATTTAAGTCTGATTTAGGATCCACTTAATCACAACCCGCTCATACTTTTACATGTCGCCGTCATGATGGATAGATCCCATCAGTTTGTGATTCATGATAAATCCCCGTAGGGCATTTCATGAGCACCCATCATAGATAAGCAGATAGATTGGGTAATTTATAGATTTTCCCAGCTCGTTTAAGCTTCACAAGATACGGAATTTTTGGGGACGTCCCCCCGTCAAGTGAAGTCTGCATGATCGGTAAAGACACCTGCTTCGTCGGGAAAATTGCCGAGATTTGCTTGCAAAGAGGCTTGCGAATAATTTTCAAGTCACCATTCATTAATGCGTCATTTTGTCGCATATCATTAAATGTTAAATTCAATGTGGTACTTGGAATAATTTTGAATTACGGCTATAAATAATTAGTTGCATTATTGTTAAAATGAACTTTATTCAACGTGTTGGCAACACTACTGCTATAGGAGGTCACTCTTACTTTCATTGACACCTGTCAATCACTACACTTTTCTTTCGGGTTCGACAAATGGTTCAAGTAATTCCTTGCGGAATGCCAATTGTCGTTTCCTTTGCTTATCATCATTATCTCACGAGACGATGGTAGCTCAAGCGGGTCCTTACGGATCGTTATCACCGTCTCCCTCTCCTATTTTCTTCTCTTAACTTACTTTAACTTTGTGAACATAAAACACAAAATAAAAAAAAGACAAAAATAACGAAAATTCAACTTTAAAAACTGCAAATTATGAAACAGAAAATTGGCTTGTAGCATTTAACACCTTCTCTTTTCTGTCGTTTTTCTTTCTCTCACTATCTGGCCCATTATGTGTTATCGGAGATCGCCGCTCGCCAGGACACCCGAGATCCAGCAGAAAGCAGTAGGGGTTCGCTGTCCTATGATGCTGTGGACAGGTGCCTGCCTGGATGCTGTAGACCCAGTCAAACTCCAGGAGCTCATTAGTGCAGGTATCAGCCGCCCTACGATGTCGAAGAGGACGCTTCCGCCGGACGCCTGTAGATCCTGACAACGATTACGAGGACGTCTGTACGAGCGCGCAGCCGAGAAGGACCTGGACGGAGATCTGCGAGACGTGCATTGGGCGAATAAGCCGCAGAGTTTGACCTGTACGCAGACTACAAGGATGTCTGAGCGAGGACCTGCGCGAGACCAGTCGAGGACGGACGTGAGGATGTCGAGGACGAACGGATTCCCAGGGACCAGAGCGAGGATGACGACACAGAACGAGCAGCCACGGAGATGCACCAAGGATACCACACCCGAGATCGAGAACGAGCAAGTTAGAACCAGCCAGGTTGGGTCACCCTTGAAGAAGTCTAGATCGCCTCGAGGACGAGCCGTGAGTAGGTGGCCGAGCAATATACAATATACTGTATAGCCACGCCGTACTCCAGCTGGTGGCTCCGCCCCTGCTTCCGGTAGTCGTCGATACTTATTCTCCATGGATGACCCCTGTCAGAGTGTGCCTTGGGTCGGTGGAGGTCACACCTGCCCACTGGGCTAGGCTCGCCGGTGACATCAGGTGACCAGCCCGTAACCCAAGACTCGTCATCCTGGTGTTATCAATCCGTGTGCTAAACTCTTATCAATAAAGGATTTTTAAGCCACCCAAGCTTTTACTACTCCCTGTCACCAATGTTTAGAGGTCAATCTATAACCCTTTACACACACACACACACACACACACACACACACACACACACACACACACACACATATATATATATATATATATATATATATATATATATATATATATATATATATATATATGTCTGAGTGTATGTATATATACACATACATATGTATATATACACATACATATGTAGATATGTATATATATATATATATATATATATATATATATATATATATATGTATATATATATATATATATATATATATATATATATATATATATATATATATATATATATATATACATATATATATATATAAATATATATATATATATATATATATATATATATATATATATATATATATATATATATATACACATATAAACATATATATAGATACATATATATATACATATATATATATATATATATATATATATATATATATATATATATATATATATATATATATGTATATATATATATATATATATATATATATATATATATATATATATATATATATATATATATATATATATATATTTATATATATATATGTGTCTGAGTACATACATACATACATATATATATATATATATATATATATATATATATATATATATATATATATATATATATATATATATATATATATATGTATATATACATATGTTTATATATATATATATATATATATATATATATA